CTCCTCACTCAGCCTTGCTACTGTTGTTCCATTGACCAGCATGTAATTTCTTACATGAATAATGCAAGCAGTGAGACAAAAATAGTTGCATTCCTTGGTTCTCTTGGTTGGGATTTGTTCTGCAATCATTTAACTGAATGTATTTGGTTGAGCTGATTTCTATTCAGCAGTGCCAGCTACTTTGTTAAATGAAATAGGGATTTTGGTTGTAAGGGTATTGGGACTCCAAAAGCTGTATTCTTACTGAAATAGACTAGAACTAGATTGTGAGATCAGGGTGCAGATTTATTCAACCTCTCAGCACACTCGAGTACTGATCCAGGATCACCGAGGTGGTTCCCACGACAATTCTATTCATTAGCCAACACTCAGAGCGGCCACGACAGTTTGCAGGCAAAATTAAATTTCAGTTTCTAGCAGCGCTCATGTGCTAGTGATAGACACAATTTTTATAAAAATGGCCAGGGTTGGTCAGGCAGCTTTCACAGTTTAAGATTAACTCTTTGATGAACATGAATTATATAATATGAACATGCTTTTGGGGCATTGTTTCCTCAATATACTGTCTATAGGTAGAAAGATATAATTATGTCCCTGACTCTTTTTATTTACAGCTAAATAGCATTGCAGTTACAACAATAAATGCAATGTTCTCTGCCGATATATTGTCATGAGAAGCAATGACCACCCACGAGAAATTCACCTTTGTGTGTGGATCAAAGGTGAGTGACAGACTTACCCTTCACATCTCATTTGCTGTACTTGTACCTGTATTATGGAATATTACAGAATATATTGTAATGCACAGAACAAATGAGGAAAAATTTATAAACTCAGGCGCTAGCTCATAAGCTTTTTTTATACCAGCTGCTGCTGAAAAACCCCGTGTTGCCATAGTGAGCGTGTTGGTGGTTAGTGAAGCGCAATGTATGGGCCCTTTCAAATAATGACCTTGTTGTGCTCCTTGAAAAATGTCCAAGGACTTGCATAAACATGTTTTTGGATCCCTAAAAGACTCTTGTGGTGATAATTCAGTAATTTTCTCTAATACATATCTCTGTTAAGCTGGCATAATTGCCCTTTAAGGCATAAAGAAGCAGAAAAAGTGAGCCACATAATAATGTTTTTGTCTGACTCATCTCCCTCAGCCGTCAAGCGGAGCATTTCGAAAATCAAAGGTTTCTTATTGTTCCCTGTGCTGCTTTCTTTGTTTATCACAGACCCAGTTTTCCTTTATTTTTCTTCATGATGATGTAAAGTAGTGAAAAGCAACAAACTGACAAGAATAAGATTAAAATCAAGCCAACCCATGGCGCTTCATTTCCTTTTTTTAAGTTAGATTATCATTTGGATGTTGAAGTTAGCCTTGGGTAAGGATAAGAAAATGTGCTGTGCTTTTTTTACTTTGTTACTACTGCAGCGAGGAAAGTCTAGCTGTAGGCCTGAGAACCTGCCTTTGTCCCTGTTAATTTAAATTAAGCTAGCACAGTTTTTTTTTCCTTTTCAATAAAATAAATTGAAGTTATTTTTCCCCTCTTACTGTTTAACTGTGCTAGAAAGAAACAGTAAATTTATGGATCCCGGTGTGTCCAGAAAGTTGCGAACTGAAAATCCATCTCTTCAGCTGTAGTCGCATCACATACAGATCACCGGTGCTGGTGAGTGTGTAATGCTGCACAGAGCTATCTGGTACTCCTCAGAAACGAAGCAGACAGTGGTCTGTTTGGTCTGTTCTGTAAAGACAGATGGGATTCTGGCAGTCTACATTCACTTCAGACATTGGCTGTGCCGGAGAGATTTCTGAGGACTAGACTTCCTAAACATACCGTGCACTGTTATCAAACTACTCTCAGTTGTTCCTGTTCCTCTTTATTGTGCCACTGATAATATTTGTGTTCTTCTTTTGTGTTCATCACTTTTCATTTGTCCCGTGTTATCTTGCTTATTGATTCTCATTTTCTCTTTACTTACTTCACTTCTCTTACTTTTCTCTTATTCCCCCAAAATAGTTTTTGTCATTATTATAAATGATGAATAATTTGTGATTAGTCACTTGTCATATCCCAATGTCTTTGCATCCATTTCCATATTTTAATTAGATCAATCAGTTACCAGGAGCCACTGCTGATTCACTGAAACTACAACATGCAAAATCGTAAGAATTATTACTATTATGTTAGGGCTAATTAACATACTGTATACCTGTGGGGCAGTTAATATGAATAAAGAAGTTAATTTAATGCAATTAGTCCACTGTGGTTATCAAGTCTCACGTGGTTGGAAATTAGGATTTGTGGACTTGTGGAATCTGTCTTAGTTGGCTGGTAATAGATGGTGGAGGGGGAAAAAAATGATTTGTGAGATGAGCCCCACTTCCCTGCCCCTCTTTCCCGTTCTCTGCGATACCGATTTTTGCAGATGCTGGTGCTTGTTTGTGTTTAGCAAAGCAGATTAATTAAGCTCATTGGTATTCCAGGACACTGTTCCCAGCTGTTTTCCAAGCCTAGGATCAGCAAGGTCATCCATTTGAATTTCGCTCTCTGAACATGTGGAGCCTGGAAGGAAACAGCTGGGAGGCAAGCACCCACAAAAGCGAGGGTTTTGACAGTCGAGATGGATGGATTTCAGTGATAAAATCTCTCTGATCGGTTCTATCACTCAACTCCTTATGTCCCTGATTCATTCCTCCCACAGCAGATCTGTGTGCGCTGTGTAATAGATCATTTGTTATTCCATTTGAGTAAAAGTCAAAAAGGTAAATAGCGTTGTAAACATATGATAAATAGGCAGCCTCATCAGTGTGATTGATATTTCCTGTTTTGCCTTGATGCAACTTCTAATATATAATGTCATCTGACAGGCCCCAGTTAGTATCAACATTAATTATCAGTAAAACATGTTAACATGGTTCTGGGCCCTGTGCCAGCGAACAATGAGATTTGTAAGTCTGAAATAATGAGTCTTTGTGAGTATTTGTGCATTGTAAGTAATAGCAACAACTTGTCAAAGTGGAAAGTCAATACACACTATAGTGGGGAAAAAAAGGAGATACAGCTCATGAAGAATGTAGCGCAGCCTCGGGTCAATGAGTTAACTGTACCTTTTAGTATTGCATCGATAAGCAGACTTTGAGTTAGATCACGCTGAGGCAGCAGTTTACTGAGTTGTGTCCCTGTGAATTACTGTCCACAGTGAAGAAGTAAAGTCTGTTCTTTCAAGTTATTTCTAAAACATTAGCTCTTTAAATTAGAATCAGTAACCACGCACTACAAAATCTCTGTGTTGTACGCGAATTGTCTTTAATCATCATTCAAACATCGCTCCCACCTGTAAACAGTTAAAGCTGACCTGTCAGGAACAAGAGGCTCTTGGTTTGCATATAATAAGCAATGTCACCGAGACGGCCCAAGGTCTAAACTTTACTATAAGACATTTGGCTACCAAGATTTGCAGCTTTTATGCTGAGATAAACAACACCTCAAACATAAAGAAGGATGAGTGGATCTCAATAATAATCATAATAAATGCCTAGTAATATTAGAAAGAAAACTGGTCAAAGTATGGAGCTTTGTGGAAATTAATATTTAAAGATGAGCCTGTTTAAAAAGTCTAACTGTGGATTCATTAAAAACTGAGCAAGGGGCTTTTAATTAGCGAGGTTTTCAGTTATTGGTTCATAACTAAAGTTCTACTAACAAAACTTAATCTGCTGTTGAAGGCTGTGAAACAGCAAAAATATTTGAGATTCAGCTTCATGTAAGCTTTCCAGCGAATGTGTCAAAAAATATTTTTGCTTCAGGCACTGGGATTTAGTTTGCTAGTGTTCAAACAGCTCTTGATTCATCAGACTGACCGCTGAGTCCTTCCTCATACTTTTTGTGTTCCTGTTGTTTTTGACTTATATGAGACACCAGCTGATGCAATATAAATGTTTTGTCCTTAGTTGAGTTGATCTGTGTGTGTGTGTGTGTGTGTGTGTGTGTGTGTGTGTGTGTGTGTGTGTGTGTGTGTGTGTGTGTG